GGGACTCGATCCCAGGACCCTGGGATCATGACCTGAGCCGAAGGCAGACGCCTAACCATCTGAGCCACCCAGGCGCCCGAATGGATGGATTTTTACAGACTAAATGCGGAAGACGAGGTCCAGAAATGATTTTGTTTAAGGCAGCAAGATGTTCTTGAAGACATGAAGACAGAATCCAAAGCATCTCTAGGAAAAAACATGTGCCTACACAATCTTTACTTGAAGTTATATTAATATCCCATTACGTGAAAAAAAAAACACAATTAGCAAGGGCGCCTGGGTGGCTCAGATGGTTAAGCGTCTGCCTTCGGCTCACGTCATGATCCCAGGGTCCTGGGATCGAGTCCCGCATCAGGCTCTCTGCTCCTTGGGAGCCTGCTTCTCCCTCTGCCTCTCTCTCTTTCTGTCTCTCATGAATAAATAAATAAAATCTTTAAAAAAAAAAAAAAAAAACCACAATTAGCAAAGTGCATCCAATTTACTGTTTATGCTCATTGGGAACAAACTTCAGCTACACAAAGTACCTCCATTAAAAAAACAAAAACAACAACAACAACAACAACAAAATCCTAGTTAATATTGAAAAGAAAAATATAATTTTGGCAATAGGTAGCATTTCAGGGAACACGAAACACCTACTAAGGACGAAACCACACAAAAGGCATTATTCATGCGATGAGCACCAAAACACTTGTTCTCACTTATTTGTCCTTAGCCCCCAGGTGCAGCCAACAAGGGAACCCGTGGAAACAGAGAGGACAGGAGCTGAAACACCCTGTAAGAGGCTCAAACACCCGCCAGGCCACGCCGCCACCACACGACCTTGGGCAAGGAACCTCAACTCAGTTTACCTATCTGAAGGATGAGTACGATGTTGCCAAATTATAGGGCTGGTGCCAGAGTTAAAGGGTGTGACATGGAGAAAGTGCTCGGCAAGATACCCAGGCAAGAGCAGCCGTCCATCAAGAAGATGATCAAGAAGTGAAAATTTTGACCATTCATGGGGAAAGTTAAAATGTTTTCAGTTCTCAATGAAAATTAACATATTTTCTTCCTTTCTAAAGAAGGTGAAGTCATGACAAAGGCCACATCCTGCCTGGACCTGCTCTTGGCCCCAGGGTTAAGGGAGATTTCCATCTCACTAGAGTTGTCTTTTTGTCTTGTTTTCTTTTATTAATGGCAACTTGTTAATAATCTGGAATCCACGCAAAGTTAGTGGCACTTTAGGTATGAGGGAGGCTGAGGCTGACCTCTGTAAGGTAAATCTGAGAAAACGTGCAACTGGCAAATGAACAGTGGAAGAAGACCTCTGAGGAGGGGGTGTGTTTTAAGAAAACAGAGTTTGACCAGCGCCCCGGCTACCCGGGTCAGACCAGCGCTCCCAGACACAGTCCTCATTCCGGGGAGCCCATGGTCATTCTGTGTTTTGTGACTTCTCTCTAATTACCCAGGAAGCTAACTGAGGAGAGGAATCACATCCTATACTTATCATTTTATCCCCCATAGCATCCAGTAACGCTGAGAACAGAGATGTTTGATACAAACCTCAGTGAATAATTCAGCCACTGCTTTTCCCTAAGTAATGGAACTTCGCAGGAACAAATCACAGACGCAGAAAAATGACTCCCGGAATGAGGATCTGGGACTCAATGCTCAGATGCCAAGTGGGGCAGCTCCATCTCTCAATACCACCTGCCACACCGCCATCCCAAGAAGAGGAATCATTGGCTGGTGTGCAATGAAAGCCAAAAGATGTCCCCTTGATTCTCGGTGAGCAGCATCACCCTGGAATTTCCTTGTTGCCGGGCAACAGCTGCTGCAAAGAGTAGGGCGCTCATTCCCTCAGTTCCAGGGAGGGAATCACCCTGTGACCGATGACAGCCAAGGAGCTGGGAGGTGCGAGGGGTCGACACCACACTCCTGGGAAATTGCTGCTACTTAATACCTTGGGAGATTTCTGGTTCACAGTCCCCTTCTACAACAATCCGTGGCTTAAGAAAGATTCTGTGGGTGGGCCTCCCAACCTAACTGCTCTTCCGAACATTGTTTTGATGGGGAAAATATATTCAAGTTCCAAATAACAACTTCCAAACATACTTCCGGAGCATGACCCATGCAGAAGACGGGTGGCTTCCTACGTAGAGGAAGCGGCAATACACAGCACCTCTCATTTGTCCAGCACATAATGAAAGGCTAAGTGCCACACGTACGGGGTAGCGACTTACCGGTGAGGCTGCCGTTGCCCTGAGTTCACTGAGGCCCTGGACGGTGTGGCCGTCAGACTAGGGAACTAGCAGGACCATATCCAGAGAGTAACATTTGACCTGTGGGGCACCCTTTCCATAACGCAGTCCCAAACCGGCACCTGATTTGCTGACCACATGCTCCCTGGGCACGAAAGTTGCACGCTCCCGATGCATTCTGCAGCCCTCCGTCACGCTTGCACAGAACCCGATGCCCAGGTAAGGGTTTGCATTTGCTTATGGAGATGACTGCACACCACCAGCTAGGAGAATTCAAAATGCTTCGGGCAAACCGTGATGATGAAGATGACATTAGAAGAGACACGTCCAAATGGCCTTCCCGCATTTGAGGGACACGCTCCCCCACACAGCTGACTCAAGAGAAGTGGTGAGGAAGCACACTTCATCCAGGCCGGCAGAACAGAGGGGAGACGGCAGGCACGGAGAGTGGGAACACCCAGCCCGCTCTCCGCTCCAATGCCATGGCTTCCTGATGATGGGGTCCCTTTGTCCCGCATTTACCCTGTTGGGAGTCCAAACAATGACTCTCCCTCGGGCAAATTCGAGACTACTGCCAAGATTTATGACAATCCCCAGAGACACAATTCAAGATACCAACAAACATTAATAATCAAAATCCATATTGGGTGGTGAAGAGGAAAAATTGGATTTTCAAGTTGAGTTTCAAGAGAAGATCAAGTCTCTCTGCATGGCTGTGCCATGGCCACATTTGGGGGATGCAATCTGTAAACGTAGGAAGTGCGCACAGGGGCCTCTGCTGCTCCAGACAGCACACGGTGAGTAAGATGGGCCCGGGGCCGCACGGCCACGTGGCTGGTCTGTAAGCAGTGGTAATGAGGCAGCCCAGCGTGCCCAGCACAGGACGCCAGGCACCCCCTGACACCACGCTTCTGTGTGATTCCACAGGCCGGGGAACTAGAAATGTCATCCAAACCAACGTTTAAAAGTAAAGATAACTGGTAATTATCTCCGTGAGTAGCTGCGAGATGGGAAGGCACACACACAGAGTGGATATCTCAGATCCTCCAGGGTGTGTAACCCCCAGACCCTCACGAAGCCCTCTGAGGCAGACATCACATCTGCATGTGTGCAGAGATGAGGACGGTCAGGTTCGGTTTCACAGGCCCTCACTCAAGGTCACTTCCAGGGTGAGCACAGGGCAAGGGCTCCATACCCAGTCTTTGGTCTGACTCCAAATCCCGTGTTTTCCCTTAAGCCATGCTACCTTCCTTTGGCCAAAAACCTTTGAAAGCAAACCCAATGGTTTATCTCTCTTTAAGGTTAATGCTTAGACCAAAATTGTAGTGAATTTTCAAGTGAAGTGGATGGATGCCACGCCCCCTTCTGGTCCAAGGACATCCATGCCGGCCAGCACCAGCACACAGAGGACGCACGGAGTGGAGAGCGGGCTGGGAGCACGAAAAGGACGGGCCAGAGGGAGGAAAACTGCGGGGTGAACACAGGGCCATCACCAAACTCACCGTTCTGGGTAAGTTTGGTGGAGCACACGAGAGTTGAGATCTGGAAGGAGTCTTTGCTGATGGTGCAGCTCCCAAGACTCTGCATGCTCCTGCCGGTGGCCGAGTGGGCCTTTTCTTCTAACTCTGCTTTCGTGGAGGGCAGGCTCAAGTACGTGGCAGCATCCTCCAGCTTCTTCGCCTCCGCCTGTGGGTTAAATTACGAGCGCGTCGGAAGCGAGTCACAATCAATGACATCTAATTCTTTTCTATCCCTCGCTATTCTTAATCCTTTTAACCACCATGATATTTGCTCTTTATCATTTGTGAAACTGTTTAACAATTTCCCTTATTCGTGTAGATTCATTCACGTTAACATTTATTACACATCATCTTCTCTCATTAGGAACAGCAAAAGGGCTGGTCATCTGAAACGTGCATTCGGATAACTAAGTGTACCTAGAGAGCAGCCGTGTCACAAAGACGGGAAACGTCAGCTCGGGCAAGGAGTCAAAGAGAGGAGTAAAGCGGTCCCTGCCAGCAAGAGGACACTAAGGAAGCAGTATACCTTATAGACGATGAGATCGTGCTCCCCGTCCCTCAGCGTGGTCCCATCATATCTCATCAGCTTTACAAAGGCTAGTGCAAATATTTTCTCAGACTTGTCCTTGGCTGCAAGAGAAGTCAATCATCCTCAACTGCCGTCATGGCAATATCACGTAAAAAACTACAAGCACTACCTTTATGAAAACATAACAAAACTGCATTGAATTAAATAGAAAGAAATGGAAAAAATGGGAGTGTTCACTAGGAGGAAGACTCCTCTTAACGGGACCAGTGGTGTTCAAATTAACCTGTAAATTCCAAGTAATTCCAATCAGAATCTCAGAAAGAGTTTCCTCATGGAACATGAAAACAGATTCCCAAGGTCCAGAGCAGAAGAAGGATGCTGGAGAGCATGGGGGGTGGGAGGGGGTCTGCAAACCTAGAAACCAGCAGTGACTGGGCAGTGACCACAAAGACCACAGTGCGGCTTAACATCGGGGACACAGAGTGTGTGCACACACAGGATCTGGAAACACAAGGCGAAGGGCAGCGCATTAGGGACAGGCCATTCCCTGAGAAAACTGGCTAACAATATGGAAAAGCAGAATAGATTCCTACCTCATGGCAACCACTAGTATAAATTCAGGTGGAGTGAACACACGAATGTGAAATTTTGTTCCCTGGCAAGAAAGCGCCTCCCCCAGATGTGGGGGGGACTCAGTACCTCCGTTCATTCAAGTTTCGGCTGACAGATCACCTGCTCCGAGGTGACCAGACCATCTAACACAGCAAATTATAACCTGGTCACACTCTCTCCCCTCCCCTGATGCGTTTTTCTTCATAACTGCTGTGGACTGAATTGTGTTCCCCCACCTAGTCTGGTGCTGGAACCCTAACCCTCCCCATGTGACTACAGTGAAGACGCAGCCTGTAGGAAGGGGCTTGAAGGTAGTGAGGTCCTAAGGGGGGAGTGCTGATCCCACAGAACTAGTGCCTTTCGGAAAAGGAGAGACAGCAAAGCTCTCCTCCGCTGTGAGTTCACAACCTGGACGAGCATCCCCACCAGACACCGGGGTGCCGGCGCCCTGCTCTCAGACTCCAGCCTCCAGAACCGTGAGAAGATACATTTCTGTTGTTCAAGCCCACCCCCCCCAGTCTATTGTGTTACAGCTGCCCGAGCAAACCGAGAGGACAGTGCTGATCCCCGCCAGGTCACCAGGCGAGCGAGCGAGCCTGCGTGCAACGTGAACCGCACACTTGTCACTGCTCTTTCCCCAGTGCCTGCAACAGTGCCTGCCATCTATTAGGTACTCGGTAAACGTTTGTTCTAGCTGGGGAGACGCCAACTAACCGGTTCTCTCGCTTGGTGACAGGGACGTGTGAGGTAGGGAATGGTGGGAACAGGGAAGGGTGGCTGGATGTTTGGACAAGGTCTCTGAGAAGATGGGAGAACATGGGAGCCCGTGCGTGAACCTTCCCAGAATAGACATGGCCAAAGGCAGAGTCCCTGAGTGGGCCCAGGCTTGACCCCTTGGGGACAGAGAGCCAGAGGGCTGGTGAGCAGTGGGTGGTGAGCGGGCCAGAGGCCAGCACAGGAGGGAGATAAGGAGTCTCCACCGAAGAAGTGGATTCTGCACGGATTCCGCAAGATGCAACTGAGTACAGCATGGAAACACTGAGTTTCAGAGCTATAATCTTTAAAATTATATATCCCACATTCTCTTTTTAGAGATGAAAAGAGAGGAGCGCATGGGTGGCTCAGTTGGTTGAGCCTCTGCCTTCGGCTCAGGTCATGATCCCTGGGTCCTGGGATCGAGTCCCACGTTGGGCTCCCTGCACAGCGGGAAGTCTGCTTCTCCCTCTTACTCTCCCTCCGTGCTATCCCTCCTCTCCCTCTCTCTCTCTCAAATAATAAAATCTTAAAAAAGAGAGATAGAGGTGAAAAGCTAGAGGTCAAGGAAGGAAGGAGCACATCCACCCACCTTGAGTCAGGGGCTCAAAAATATTTACCCCGAGTCACCACCACTGCACAAGATAATGCGTCTCGTTAATCTTTGCAGTCCTGGTGTCCATCAGTACCTAGCACACAGTAGGTACTCAATAAATGCCAGCTAATTGGAAAGATGAAGGAATGCTCGACCAACCACAATAAAGGGAGGGATGAAGGCAAAAAAATATGTATCCTAGGAATCAAAATAATAGTAACAACTTTGTAAAAGGGCATAGAAAATACAAACTACCATAATGTTCAGGTGAGAAAGAACAAATCCTTCTAAGTTTGAGCGGTGTGATGTGAAAAAAATACAGAGCTGGCTCCACGAAAGCAGCCGTGGCTCAAAAGGACACATGAGCATCCCCAGCCGTCAGCACACGGCTTCCCCTGATCCTACTATTAAGTAGCACAAAATAACATCGCGTACCTTTTATCAACGTCCTATACCTTTACCTCGAGGCCACGGGCTGCAGTTATTATGGCTCATTAGCAGCCACTGGGAGTAGACAACAATTTTACAGGACGCCGAGGGCACATGAGGCAGGGCGGCCCCACCCAGCCAGGCCCCCTACGAGCCTGGGAAACTGGCCCCTGGCCGGCTGGACCCGGAGCCACAAGGCCACTCAAGTTCAGGGTGAAACAGGAGCGGATGCATCTGGAATGGCTAACGAGTTGCTGGAGTGTCTATCACATCAGCACCAAACTTTTGGAAGTTTGCCCCCGGGATGGATCCCAGCCTGCGAAATCCCATCACTTGTTCCCTATGCTCACCTCCCTTTATAGGAAAAGCAGCTCATTGCAGGGGGCCAGGGGGGACGGGCAATGTGGCCTCACTTCCTCCTGTTTCTGACCCTGCGTGTCCGTGTTCAGGGAGGCTGAGGAGGCCCCAGTGGATGCAGTCACTCCCACAGCAGACGGCTCAGGACTGCATCAGCCCCACACTCCTGTGCTCCACACGGCAGCAAAACCGCACAAGCCATGGCCAGGGAGCCTCATTAATTACGCAAATGTGTGGTGGTGTGTCGGGTGACAGCATCTTGTCTGTAATGAGTACTTAAAACTGACTAGAAAAACAAGGATTTTGAAAATTAAAATGCTACAGAAGATATCCCTCTGCCCTAATGTAATTTATTAACCAGAGAGAACAAGCTCGCTGTAAAGGGCAAGCGTGCCTTTGAGACAAGTCTTCTGTGGATTCCAGAACTCTGTCCTTGCCCTCCAGGGCTCCCACCTTCTTCCCTGCGGCCCACTCCCACCCCGGGCCATTCCACTCGTGCAGGCTGCCTGGCCCACCACTCCCTGTATGCTTTGGCCGAGGAAAGACATGCCCGAGTGTGCCCCATCCATGCACCCTGTTCCGTTCACCCCACACCTCTGCCTACTATTCCACGATCCTCCCAGGTTGACTCTACACCTCAACTCAAACTGAAGTTTGGAAAGAGAACCTTCTCTGTGAGGTGTAGACAGCAGGTACTAAATTAAGACCAGAGAATGGAAGTGGCCTCACCACGCCCCCAAGGTGTGGGGGTGGGACACTCAAGCACACAGACTAGGTTTGAACCCGAGCACCCCCCCCCACTGACTAGCTGGGTGACCTTAGGGGACTGAGGTGGGGTCTGGGAGCCTCAGGTTCCTCCACCATAATGTGCGGAGCAATGACCACAGCGACAGTACATGGGGTCATTGTGGGTGAGGGCGGATCCAAATGGCACAGTAAGAGCACATGAATGTTAGCTAACATTTATGAGCCGCTGTTCTTACCCCAAAGTTCTGGCCATCGAGGAGTGCCATGCACAATCAGCAGACCCCGGCCCACCGCCTGGTGGTCTGGCTCTGGCCATCAGGCAAGTCTGCAGTGGTTGGGGACTGCTTCCCACACTGCCCGGCCCTCATGACCCCGCTTCTCCCACTCTCCCTGAACCCCGACCCCTCGTTAGCTAGGGCCCTGCTCTGCTGAGACAACAGGATGGGACGGGTGGTGGAATGATGCTGCAGATCCACCTGCCCCTCCACACACACCCGCTTACCACGAAGGACCCCATGCTATCTCGATCCCTTGGTTCTTTCGCCCCTATGGCCTCACCCCCCCGCCAAGCTGTGCTGATATGCGTGCTCTCCATACACCAGCACTGTGGACCATAAGAACACGCCTCCCCAGTGCTTCTCGACAACAGTGGGGTCCTGGCTCCTCGCTGGCCCCACAGTGGGGTCTACCTTCCCCAGCTTCAAGCCTTTGCACATGTACTCGCTCTCCTGCACCCCCTACCTCTGCAGGTCCCACATCTTGGAAAGGGCCCAGGTCAGGCAGGCCCCCTTCCAGAAATAGCACGAAGGATGGCTTCTGAGGAGCCCCTCCCCAATGCCAGGCATCGTGCCATGGGCTCGGCAGCCTCCATCTCGCCTGGTCAAGACCCCCAGGCATTTATCCTCCAGATGAAGTATCTGTGAGGACACAGAGAGCCAGAGCAGAGGACCTCCACCCAAGTGGCCCCCACGGGGTTGTCTGTGACAAACACAGCCTTCCAGACCACCCTTTCCCTCAAAGCGACAGCACACACAATATAGCCATTATTTTTCCAAATCTTAGCTCTCTGCCCTGTAGGTACAGACCATGAAGGGCAGGGAGACATATAGCTGCCTGCCGTGATGTCTTAGTGTTTAGCATAGGGCTACGTCCTTAGCAGACGTTAATGAACATGACAAGACGAACTCCAGTCATCAATAAAGAACTCCTCTGGAAGGACAGGGACCCAAACCCCAGTTCCTCCCTCCCAGCTTCTCAACATCAGTCAGCACTACACCAACATCTCCTCTCAGCCTAAAGCCAGACACCGGGGGCCGCCCACAAACACAAAACGAGGGTTTCCATTCCAATGCAAATGGCAGTAAGAGCCAATCTCTGAAATCTACTTGTATCTTAGTGACTTCTCGGATGGATAGAACAGCGTTACAAGTCACACGGAAGACAGGAAACAGGTCAACATGGAAATGAGCTAAAGGATTAAGACCACATCGTATTAGGATCACCTAGTCCTACAACAATCCAGAACAATCCAGAACAAGTGACAAGTGCAGCCTACGGAGCTTTCCCCTAGTTTACCCTTACAAGCAACACGGGCTAAAATCAAGGGATTACTCACAGTCCTGTGACGACCTGTGGCGGAAGGTAAACCGAAGGTGACTGCGGTTGACGTCCTCAATGGGAATGGCCACCTGCGCAATTGAAAGAGGAAGTTTCAGCACCAATATTGTATCTTCTCACATGAATGGTTTTGTTCAACTGGAGATACTGTGCAACTGTACACATTTCCTCCCTGCAGGGATGAAAATACCATATGCCTAATCCCCTACAGGGCTTTCCCAAAGGCAAAATGCTTTTGGAAAATTTAAACAAGACAATATTGCAAGGGATGCCAAACCGATTCTGCAAGACAGCAGAAGTCTTCGTAAACGTTCACGTCCTCACTGTTAAAAGTCTGTTTTCCACAAGTTGCCAGTTTCCTAGTAGCCCTTATTGGAGGTGTCCACAGTCCCTCCATAGCTACAGGGACCTGCCCTCGGGCAGCGGGAAGAAAGCTTTCCTGTTGTGACGAGCAGTCAAAGAAGAAAGACCCCATGCATGCTGCCTTTAAGCGAAGACTGTCCCAAATCCTCCTATGTGCCATCTGTCTTCTAAGGCCAACCCCAGGCTGGGTTTCCCAATATTCAAGCCCTAGGCACAGGGGCTGGGGTGTGCCATGGTGGGCTGCCGTACTGACATCAGCGAGTCACGTCAGGAGAGCAGAGTGCCACACCACGGACGGGGACCCGTCGTCTCCCAGCGACGTCCTCCATATATTGTCACCTCTATTTTTTCCCATTTGGTGTAAAGACGGCATGCCACACATATAACAGACCCAGGAAGAGAAAGATAATAGCTATCTTTAGAGGACTCTGTCATTTGTCTCCATGAAAGTCCTATTTTTATGTCCAAAAGGAGATGAGAGTAAATGTATTCCAAGAAATGCCGGATTGGCTCCTTAGCAACCTTGAACGACTTTGTTGGGAGAGCGCCTCTGCCTGCTCAGGGTGCCCGCTGACGAGCAGCCCCGGGTTGGGTGGGAGCTGGGGACTTCCTTGGGATACAAATGAGCATTTCATAATCAACTCCGTGGGATAAAATGACCATGTAAATGATACCTTAACAGTCTCAAACCAACGTGGCTGCTTTACTTGGTAGTAAATCACAGACTTGTACTCCGAAATCGCTTCATCACCAGCGCCCGGGAAAATCACATGCTTTAAAAGAAGGCATAAAGAGTTCACATCAGACCTCACAGAGCTTGACACTGCATCCATCTCCCCACCTCCCGCCCCCAGTAGATGAGCTAAGCAGAGCACTACAGGAATGCCAATAAACCCCATCACAGATGGAATATGATCCCAGCAATGGAAGGACAGATCCATCTGGAGCCAGCGCAGCCAGCATACAATCTTGCTCGCAGACAGTTAAGCATCTTGATGGTTATCAGTATAGGGATGCTACTGTCTTCCAACCTTCGTACCCTCACCCCTAACAGCCTTAACATTAAGGTCTGCAGGAAGTCGCCTGATTCACTCAGTAGGTCCAGAATGAAGAGCTACAGGACACGAAGGAGGTAGCAACACTCCTTCCCGATCCACTGTAAACACTGACCACTTGGCCCCCGAGGAAGCAATGCCAATAAAGCCCAAGTGGCAAGGGTAACACCTCCCGGCAGTTACACTGGACACGGGCCACCCACACAGAAAGGATGCCGCCCCCACCTCCTGGCACAGCTGAGCCTCAGGTGCATACACAGGGCATTGCTCTCAAACACATGGGCTAGGACAGCCCAGCCCGCCACCCAGGGTCCACGCTGGTAGCTGGCGGGGGCGCCTGCCCTGGCGTGGCCTCTGCTCATCAGAGGCCACCGTCCCCGAGCACTGCCCAGCACGCCGAGTCCTGCAGGCCGCCGTGGTAACCACCACCACCCAGGAGAGCATGAGGTCAGAAGCCCAGATTCAAACCCCAGGTTCCACCCCCCACTAGCTCGATGACCCTTACAAGACTTCCTGGGCCTCAGTTTCCCCAGCTCTCAGATGGTGGTAATAATGGTGTCTGAACTTCTAGTGGGACCATTAGACCTCTGAGCCCTGGGCCTATGCTGGCAAGGGCCAGGAAAACAGAGGGGGGAGGGACCGCAGAGGTCTCCCGGGGCAGTGGCAGCTAGGACGCCGTGCACACCAGCCCTTTACGGCGAGCTGGAGAAAGGGATGAAGAACAAACTCTCATCCCCAGAAATGGGATCACGCGGCCCCAGCTACGTCTTTTCCTACTCTGCAGCAAAGCCAAGAAAATACTTGGAATATAAAGTTTCCACGCCACACATTAAGCTCTGCAACAATAAATACCTCCAGCCGTTTTCCGTCTTCGTCGTAAACAGACACTGTAACCTCCACATTCTTTGCTGTGGTTTTGCTTCCTTTATCAAAATCTCCTTGAACTAATGTTACGTAGATATCATTTCGAACATCACCTGGGGGAAAAATTTTACCTTTAAAACCAATCCGTTATTCATAATGTTAACCGGGAATTCTGCAACACTGTCGAAATTGCTACCAATCCTAGCAGAGGATTATAAATACTGTATAGATGATTACAAAATATTTTCTACAAAACAGTCTCAGCATTTAAAGGCATGACAAAAGCAGTTTTCAGCAGCATCATCATTAAGATCACAAGAAGGAGGAAAAAACGTCAAGGCCCTTAATTATCTGCATGGTCCTTCGCCTCGGTGGGCAGCTCATTCCCACGGTGACTCGAATGCTGCCGATGGGTTTGCAGGGACCATCCCCTGTCCAGTGTCTACGGCCCATCGTGACTGCCACCACTATCTCACGGTGGACCGCTGGCTGTGTTCTCGGCGTCTGGGTAGCCAGAGTATCACACCATCAAAGGCACGCCTCAGATGACAACTGGCAACACTGGCTTCCTCTACATTTTTCTAAGGAGTGGAACAAAAAGCTGATCGAGAATGAGAACCACCACAAGCCAAGGTTCTGAGTTGATGTCTGGGATCAGGGACTAGGAGTGGGTCAAGAGAGAAGCTTTCTGCATGGACATGGATCTTTTTTCCTCCTGGTGGGCAGCTGTCAGGATCAGAAGGGACCTGTTCTGTTCCGTTCAGAGCAGAACAAAACAGTCCTGTGCATTTCAAAGTGAGGTGGGCCATAAACTGTGTGACAACAAAAACAAAAACAAAACCCATACACAACAAATAAACTCAAGACACTTCTTCCTACTGAGAGCCTATGAGGCCCCTGGTAATGGTCCAACTGGGGAAACGTAGCAAGCTTCATTAGCAGCGTGATTTAGAGCAAGCACCACCACCCAGTGACTATTCCTCTGCTGTCTGTCTGGTCACCTCCACGCTGACCCACCTGCTCTCCCACAGGGGACGTGAGCAACGGGTCCGTCAAGAGCAGCAAATGGCCCACGAAGGGCCAAGAACAAGTGCCCTTGCTTTTTTGTTTTCTCCCGTTCTTTCTTTCTTTCTGCTCTATTCTGGCTTTTAATGTATCCGACTATTAAATTAAGCTTTCATTTAAAAGTCACTATTATAATAATCCCAGTGGGCTGCTCCCACAGCCACACTCAGTCCTGGCAGGGGAAGCGTGACTGCAGTCAGTGCTACTGACCGTGCGAGAAGCGAAGAGTGATGGAGCCCAGGGCCAGGCACAGGAGGCAAAGCTGCCAGGCCAACACCTGCCACCAATCCCTGTGTGACCGCAGACAAGTCACCTAACCTCCCACGCCACCTACCGCGGAACAGCCTCACAGATAAGGCAGGTGGTGTACGATCTGTAGGCTGTACAAGCCCTGCCTGCACATTCTACCGAAGCACAAAAGCCATAACCAAAAAGGGCCACAAGAGCTTCATAAAGGCCTCATCAGCCAGACTGCATCACACGCTGGGGGCAGGGGAGTGGTGAACCCCATGGTCTCACTCTCCTACTGGCCTAGTCATCCATACTCAGAGCCATCCCAGAAGTGAGACCCTATTTACAGCAGATGAACCCCACAGATGCACACTCACGAGAGTGCCCTCGGTGGAGGCCCGCAGGGCTCCAGGGTTCTCATTCTGGGGAGGAAGAAACTGGAAGCAGGCGTGGGTGAACTCAAAGAGAAGACTCCCTCTGCCTCATGCAAGCCTCCAGCCACCTTCCCAGCTCAGAGGAAAACTCTGTTTCCCACCAACCTGCAGGATGTCCAGGGGCTCGCAGAAAGGCAGAAAAGCCGGCGACATGGGTGACACAGCAGGCTCTCCGGCCGTGCAAAGGAGATGTACATCTCTGTAAAAAGCATCCCCGTACGATGGGACAATGCACAGGTCCTGCCAAGCTAAAGGCCAAGGATCTGAGTGAAAACACCCCAGGCTGTCTCTCTCTCTCTCTCTCTCTCTCTCTCTCTCTCTCTCGTAAGGGTACCATGAGGCACCCATGGATGCTTCCCCGGCCCTAACGGAGAACATGATGACTCACTCTAGCTAGAAGCCCACACTCCAGGAACCCCGACTCCCAACTCAGCACACAGAACCAGCCGGAACAACGGTCAACTGTATGGCTTCCCCGGAAATGTTAGGAGATTATTTTAGAGCTCAAGACTTACTTTTTTTTTTTTTTTAATTTTTTTTTGAAGAGTTTATTTATTTATTTATTTGACAGAGAGATATAGCAAGAGAGGGAACACAAGCAGGGGGAGTGGGAGAGGGAGAAGCAGGCTCCCCGCAGAGCAGGGAGCCCGATGCGGGGCTCGATCCCAGGACTCTGGGATCGTGACCTGGGCCGAAGGCAGACGCTTAATGACTGAGCCACCCAGGCACCCTAGTCTTACCTTTTAAGTTGGTCAATTATAAAGGGAAATACGACCAGTATGAGCTAGAAGTTTTCTGGGTCTCCCTTTAGAACATGAGGCCATCCTAGACCACCCAAGACGAATGCCCAATGTCATCCTAATCTATAAATTTCATCTCGAGTCCACATGCAAGCAATACATCCACCAAGAGCTCCAAATTAATTTACTGCACACAGACTTGATTCCTGCCCTAGAAAGTATCCCTCGGTTTCACAGCATGCTGGACATCACGCTTTCTTCCCATACAGGTGAGCCACTAAGATCCAGCCTAACCAATTTGAGATGTCCTTCACATTAATTCACTAGTCAGAGGATACAATGACCCACAAAAGCCCTGAAAGATAGAGGTAGCAGAAAGAACATGTCCCCACCTGCCCTAAAAGAAACAAAGCAGTAACTCCGACAGCATGCGCAATGAGCAGATACCTCTCCCTGCGAGCCTACAGCAGGGCCCTATAAAGGGACCCCATGGGGAGCCTCTGAATGTGGGGTGGTTTGGCCCCATTTCTACTGCTCATTAGCTGTGTAACTTTAGGCTGCGGCTTAATTTCGATCGCAATTAGTTCAACACCAATGTGTAGGCTTCCGAGGTCCTTAGACAGATCAAGCCAAATTATTAATGTGAGCATTATGTGCAAACCAAAAAGTATCCCACAGATGTAAAGGATAAATATTCACGGGCTTGCCCAAGATCTCGTGAGGATCAAATCAGATTATTAATATGTTATTTGGAAAGTGAGAAGTATTATGTAAATATGAGATTAATCTTAACATGGAATTCCATTATTGGTTTAAGAAGCTTATAATCCATTACCGGGCCTGAGCGATACTACGTAATATGAACTGAGCAGGCACCAGGTGTGAACATTCACTTGCTGCCCCTCCTTCCTTGTTTTGATCAGATGCCTACCCAAACACGCGCCGGGCGTCCACATCTCCCTCACACAACCCTTGCCATCGGGAGGAGCTGACGTCTAGGTGCTAATGTGCACCCTCCACCCCCAAGCCATCACTGTCCGGGGACCGCAGGGCAGGGGCCTGAGCAGGCCAGTCTGGATGATGCTCAGGCTCCTTGCTGGGCAACCCTGGGTCAAAAGCACACTATCTTCCTCAGGACGCTGGGCTGGGAAGAAAATGGGAGCCATCAGGGCCCTTACCCAGAGGACTAAGTCAATATGCACAGGAGGCAAGCCAACAGTGGTTACTATGGAGAAACGGAGCCAGTGCCCGGGCTGACTCTGTTGCTCAGGTGCGTGAGCCGATGAATATCCTCAGGGTTCGGCCGTCTGCGCTGGCCTGGTGTCTTCTGTGACATTACCCCCTACAGCATCCCAACTCCAACCTGCCCTACGGGTAGGAATTATCATTACTCTCCTTCTTCAGAGTAGCAGAGCACAGCTAAGCGAGGCTGGGGAGGAGCCGTGGTGCAACTCCAAACAGAGGCCGGACTCCAGGTCCTGAGCTCTCACTTCCGGGGCAGAAGGCTGGCGTTACCTAATTGTGCCCCCTTAACTTTGAACACATTCTGGATGATTCCAAAGCTGTTAGAGGACCTTCATTGTGAACCTACGTTAACATCATAAAAGAGCTGCCTTCATCCTACAGTGAACCAACCACCATGATTGATCCATTGATCAGAACCTAAAGTGAAGCCCACAGGGCCCTGGAAAGGGCCCCAAGCTCCACCGCCCTTCATTACATTTTATGTGTTACCCAACTCCGCACACGCAGTCCGGCAGCCGTGGTCAGTGGAATGTCTAACTCCCATTCTTCCTTTTCACCAGATGAGGTGGGGCAGAGACAAACTGCAAGGCTTCTGGATTAAGGGGAACAATGGATTATGGGACAATAAAGGGTGTTGCTTACAGTAACGATGACGTTCACTCCAGCTGGTGGCGGAAACCCACCTCAAGTTCTCAGGGCTGCGTTTCTGGAAACGCTGATTCCCTTGCTTGTCCTTATCACAGTACTGCCAGAAATCACTCCCACCCGCAGGTTATTACAACCCAGAGAAGCCACCTCCCTGCAGCCCAAACCTAGGTGGTCAGCGCTTACTCTGGCCACAGCTCCTGACTGCAGGAGTGATCCACAGCCACCCTGGGGTGGCCACATCACCTCCCACGAGCTCGTCCGAGTCACTGTCCCCACACTGCACTCTGGCCTCTCTACAAGCTCCCCGGACACTGGCCACATCCACACCACACTCAGAGCACAGAAGGAATCGGTCCTTACCAGGCATGATTATCTCCGGAAATCCCGTTTTCCGAGCCACCGCTGTGGTCCTGTCCACTAAGTGAGGAAATTCTTTTCTAATCTGATGGATATCTCCAGGAAGTAATTTCAAGGTTACCCACAAACCTAGAAAGACAATGGACACATGAGTCATGTTTTATCTTATACATTTTTGAAGGATTATTTCAGGAAACCCATCTCAACGAACGCGCAACTGTTAATTCACAAGTTAACATCTTAGGAGAAAACGTGGGTGTATGAGAAAGAGAAAGAAGGGCCACGGAAAGGTGGCTGGCACAGGGTAAGCACCTGCATCTGACTAGGGGGGTACACACCCTACCCTGGAGGGGCCTCTCGCCCTGGCCAATGCACGGCACCTGCCCAGAACCAAGGACCCCTCTCATAAGCACTGAAGATCAATCAGGAAGAAGCCTTTTTCTAGGAGTGACTGAGATAGCTCTCCCTTTCCATTCTCCCCAGAAGGAGGACAGCACAGGAGGGCTCAGGAGGTAAATTCACAGCTTCTCTAACCCAGGAAGTCTCCTGTGCTTTCCAGAAGGTGCACAGCACAGCGCTGGGCTACAAGCCACCAGCAAGCCAGTCCTGCAGAGCCAAGGTTGCCTGGGCCCTCTGTTTCACGACGTCACAGCGAAGGGGGAGCAAATGCTCTGCCCACCACTTGGCGCTTCCCTGCAAGGAGGGGAGGTGAAGACTCTGAAACCCTCTGAGCAAGAAGGAAGGGCTGATGTGGACAGAACACGGTGAACCTGCTCGCAGCTGCGAGCTAAGGGTATGTGCCATCCTCTTCCTCCACAAAGCAGACGGACAACTGCATTTTGTGTAAAATACTCCTGTGCAGCAAGCAAACAGGAAGTAAAAATAAGAGGGAATACAGCAAAATCAAAGGTGGAGACAAATCAGTTGCATGGCTCTCTCTACCATTTTCAAAGACAGGGCCTTGCTCCCAGTTGGGAAGGGAGGTTGTCACTGTCAGCTGACACATCCGGGTCTCCGTCCCTGGGACCTTGGGGGCCTGGCCTGCTTGCTCCCTGGTCACTCAGCCCAGCAGGACCCCAAGTGCCCGTCAGAATATAAAGGCATTTGCTCTCACTAACACTACTAGTGTGTGCGTGTTTAGTCTGTCCAGCCATTCCTGCCCTAGGATGCATGTTTCCAGGGAGCAGAGACCATTCATCGCTGCTTAGCTCAGCACACTGCCTTCAGTAGAAGGCCAACGGGAAAACTGTAGACGCTGTCCACCAATATGCATTCCAAGCAGAACTGGGAGACACCTGATGGTCCCACACAGGGAGGATCACCTGAGACTGCTCTTGTCCAGAGCTGCTCTGGTTGATGAAACCCCGAACCTCACACCCTTCTCCTCAAGCTTCCTTCCTGTCTGCTATCAGCTGGCCTGAAAACATCGGTCCTCTGCAAAGACCTACATTACTTGTGGTTGAGAAAGCCCCCAGTCACTGATGACATTTTTTCTCTGCCAGGTGGTGAACCCCTCTCCCCCTGCCATCTAGACAGTCCCTCTGATCTACTCAAAAGTGTCCAATAAGTACCTACTGTGTGCCCGACACACACTGGGCACTGTGGACACAGAGCAAACAGTCAGTATAGCCCCACCAGGGACTTAGCTTCTGTCCCACGAGGCCAACACTAAATCCATGGTCTCAGTGAAATATGCAACTCTTAAGAGCTTTCTAAGGAAAAGTCCAGGGCACTGTATATCCCCAGGACTGCGATCCTGGGGGTCACAGAGGCTCTCCCAAGAAGGGACATCCAAAGAGATCGGAAGATGAGTCGACACTAAGCAAGGGGCGTGCAGTCCTGTGCCCACCCGGGTGCTGGATGACCAGAGCCACAGCGGAGAGGCATGACAGGAGGCTGGGAGGGCGGCAGGGTCCCAAGGCGGGAACTGCTCCATCTGAAGGAGTGGGGAGGCTGGAAAGACGAGCAAGTACCAGGGTCCCACTTGATAGTACTCTGGGGGCTGTGTGGGACTGAGCAGGTGCGGGGAGGGGAGTTCAGAGCCAAGTGAGGATCCCAGGCAACAGCACGGAGGTGCGGGTGGAAGGACCCGTGTGGAGGTCAAACCAGAAGCTGCGGGGGCGGGGGGGGAGGCTCACAGAGACGGGGACGGTTGTGGGCACGACCAAAAGCAGGTGCCGGGATACCACTCCCTGAGCCAGAAAACCCTGCACCCTGGCCACGTCCTGAACGGTGAGAGCACAAGCAAGGAGAGAAAGAAGAGGACCCTGAACTATGCACTGAATTCCCAACATTAAAGCTCACACAGGACGCCAGAGGCCAGAGATCACGGGAAGCCCAGAGGGGTGGCACAGCGTGGTCAGTGGTACAAAACGCAGCCCAGGGAACAGGGCACCAGGGCAGTGTCTGCGGCACAGAGCAGACAGGGTGACACCGCAGACCTCGGCGGGTGCACCCGGTAAAGCCGGGGGTGGGAGCGGGGGCAACGCTGATGGGAGAAGGACAAAGAAGGAACAGAATATGAAGGTCAGAGGGAGGAGGCATAAGCTACTCTGAGAAACTGGGAGTAGAGAAAGTCAGTAACAAAAACAGATGTGTCATCTAAGGTAGACTGTTTCAAGCATGGTATTTTCCTTTTCTTTCCTTTTCTATTTTTTCCTTTCTGTTTCCTCTCAAGATTTAAAACTCCAAATCGTAAGGGGGAGAGTTTGAAGGAGAGGAGAGAAGCATAACCAATAAGAAGAGGTCCCTAAAGAGATGTCAGGAGGTGACACCAAAACAGGGGCCCATGTATCATTGCTCAGAATGTGCACTGCAGGGGTGCCTGGATGGCTCAGTCAGTTGAGCGTCTGCCTCCGGCTCAGGGTCCTGGGATCAAGCCCTGCATGAGGCTCCCTGTTCAGTGGGAAGCCTGCTTCTCCCTCTCCTCCCTACTCGTGCTCTCTCTCTCATGCTATCTCTGTGTGTCTCTCTCTGAAATAAATAAAATAAAAAACTTGAAAAAAAAAAAAAAAAGAACATGCCCTGCAACAAGGCCCTGGCAAAGAAAGGCAAGTGGGAGCTAAACCCAGCCCACACTGCTCACCAAGCCGTGTGCCCAGGCACTGTCTACGTCTCACTCGCCCACAGGACGGGCACCCTCTTTCCAATTCACACAAAAGCACCACAAGTTGGTGTTGCTCTGGACCTGTGGGAGAGGTCCCTTGATGGGCCAGGCACCTAACCCACGGCTGCGTCCTCCAGGAGAGCAGACCACATGAAAGGGACACCCACAGAAATGCAAGGGGAGATTATCACGGCAGGTGACATGGACGCACGAGATCCCTACTGGGGACACCAGGGTGCCGCGGACAGGCTCTCAAATCTCACTCAGGTCCCAAAACCTGCCAAAGGAATGAAGGTCCCCAGAACGAATGTGACTCGGAAGACATTTTTCAAGGACCTGCAGGATGTTGGGAGGTGATCATTTACAGAGGTCAGAGGCAGAGAAATGTTTAATAACACCATTCGAAACTCCTGCCGCCTTTCAAACACCTTTTCTTTCTCACAAACACCAGCTTGCTCAACGATCTTAGTTCATAAACGAGTAACTTAATGACACAATTCAATTTGTTATAACACGATTTAAACACAGAGATTAAGCTCTCCTGATTACATTGGGTTTAAAACACTTTCCTCAAAGGAGGAAATGAGGCCAATTTTCAAAGAAAAAGTGCATTTTAGGTTGACTTTTGTTTAACCAGAGGAGCTAAAAACAAAAGAGATTAGCATACATTCTACGTCAAACAATAGGAACAGATGTCCGGGGGTGTCTGAGGCCTCGCTGTCCACATTAAACATCCAGAACCTCTGGGTCCAGGGTTCGGGATAATTTGGGCTAAACATAAAAAATGTCAATTGTGACAAATAAACATGTGGATGTCAACCTAAAATGGGCCAAAGCCCAGAGAGGAGCTCAGAACAGATGAGCGTGGGAAGCTTCCTGGTTCTCTGTGAAGACTGCCGGCCTCCCTGCCCCTCCCACCACCCACCCCATCCCTCCCGCCACCCCGCACCCTTCACCACGGCCTAACAGGCACACAGACATCAGGGCAGCCCGGATCACCACCGATGAAAACATGGAGCTCCACGGGGCAAACCCACGCGCCTCGAGGCTCTCTCTCGGGTCTCCCTGGAATGCACAGAAGCAGGCTTGCCAGTGAGCCCCAGAGAAACGATCACTTTAGCTTCAAGGACAAAAAAACCAGCCAGCGACATTGCCCAGGGGCACTTCAGTTCAGGAAGGCACCTGTAGTCCCCTTGAAAAAAAAATGTTCTTGTCTCTTAGTTCTCACTGTGACCTGGAAACACCTGTCCTCCTGGACTTCCAGGAATTGGGCCCCCGGTATCAGCTCTGGTGACAGATTTGCACCCCGACACCAGTGAGCCTGGCAGAGGCAGGCTGTGGGTCCTCCTGCGGCCTGACACTGATCTCCACTTCCCCTGTGTGACTCTGTGATAGAAGTTTCTCAAAATCTGACGGCTCTGCAAGAGAAACTCAATCCAACAGGAGCCTGGGGTCTGGGGACTGGCACTCCCAGTCTGAGGGTGGCTCCAATCAAAACAGCTTCAAATTGGATCTCCCTGTGGTTTTCAATTAAGGTGCAAATCAGAGAGCTGGTAATTGATGAGAAGGTGGGTCCTGGGTCAGCTTAAACTGCTCTGTCTACAGAGGCCACGGTTCATTAACGCTTTAGCTGGGGTTTTTGTTTTGTTGTTTGCCAGGGACGGGGCTGGCTGGTTCACACCAAAGAAAGCCAAAGGTTTCTCACTCCTCCAGAACATTCTTCTAACTCAATTCATACTCTCCTTTATAACAATGGGAAACGAGTCAAGAGAATCGTTTCTTAAAAGGCTAGGGACATAAGGTAACTAGACAATGAAAGAGGCCTATCCACTCACTTAAGCTCTACTGAGTTTGTGACAAGTCTGCATCTAACCAAGGACTGAAGAGTGGGTTCTCCCACCGGTGCTAAGAGCAGCCTTAGGTGGGAGAAGTTCTGAAGGTGACTTCCCCTCGAGCCGGAGGCGAGGCCTCCGTAAACAGCTGTTTTCTGGCAAAGGTCCTGGCCAGCCCGAGTGCCAACTGTCCCCAGTCCGGGGTGACTGATTCATTGCCTCTGCCAACAGAAGGTCAGCTGCTGGGAAACCTGTCAGCGTGGGATTAAAAACGATGAGTGCAAGACATGGAGTCAGGAGGAAAAATCCCTTCCATTACAAAACTGAAGAGAGATCCGTCTCCAAAACGAAGCCACAGCCTCGGGCGAGGGGGGGGCGGGTAGGACGAAGGGGAGCCCCAGGAAGCCACGTGCCAAGACTGAATGTGCAACACGGGCACGGAAGGGAGAGTCAAGGGCGCACGTGGAGCTGGGCTGTGTCGGGTGTCTCCACGTTTCTCTGAGCAGCAAAGATGAAGTGACAGACGGTGGACAGTAACTGTATTCTCTTATAAAATCCTTCAAGTGCTTTCAAAGATGGCTAGGAGGAGAGGGGAGGGCTGGAGAAGACTCAGGAAGGCAAACAAACAACTTGCTTCCAAGTCTCATAAACTCTGGGCTCTTTGCAAACATTTCATTGTGTCCCACTCAGCCTTCCTCCGCTCACCCAGGGGGTTGGCTCTCAGCAATGCTTACGAGGGAGACCAGCAAGAAAACCTCCACACACAGTACACGTAGATCATGACCCAACACTGCCCGCATCACCATCCCCATCAGCATCATCACCACCACCACCATCCTCATTCTCATCATCACTGTCATCATCATCACTATCCTCATCACCAACATCATCATCACCACGAGCCCCATTACCAACATCACCACCACCACCATCATCATCATCAAACTAAAATGCAAACCATACAGCACTGTCCCAAGTTCATGTAATAGGTGAACATCTGTAGCAATAAAACAATAGAATACATACCCTGGCCCTTGTGGTTGACTTCTTTGGCAGCAATGACTTTGTTTATAACAGTCTGAAGGAAGTCATTCTCCCCCGCCACCCTGGGTGAAAAACGGGATGACATGTTCAGCGGCTTGTGTCGAATGGCGTCGTCCAACGCGAGCCTGGAGGGCACGGGACGACCAAGACCACAGGAGACAAAGGGGCACAGAGACCCAGAGGTCACGGTAACAAGGGAACACAAGAGATCATCGTCACCGAATGCGAGAGAGTCGTCATGAGTCAACGCACGACAAAGGACAGGATAGGTGACAAGAGAGACAGGGAAGAGCATTGATCAGGAAAATGCTGAATCACACAAGAGAAGTAAAGCAAACGAGGTCGACCCTATCCCCAGGAAATAAACATGCACCAAGCCTCCACTCCATCTCTACCGGATAATAAAAAAGGGCACTTATCCGAAAACAATTGTGGTTGGACAGCATTTAATCGCAAGGAATGTTTACCTCCGTTTCTTCAATTTCAATAATTCCTGACCATGGCATAGGTCAAGGGGCAGGTGGTGCGAAGGGAAAAGTAAAATCAAGACCAAAAAAAGATCCCTACAACCTAATTGCCTGGGGAACTTGGGTGGTGACCACTCTACTCCATCAGACTGTGTACCCAATGTGGCCTCAGATAATTAAGTGTGAGAAGAATGGCACAGTCTTTGGAGAAGATAACTACCATGTCTGAAAGGTGGAACTATGACCCAATTATGAATGTAAACCGTCAACATTTGGGGGTCCCGTGGACCATGAGTTTTTCATAGAAGCTACACTAAGACCAAGAGATAAGTACAAACAGGCAACATGTGCAAAGAGAAATACCATGTAGCACAGCAAAGCACAGTATGCAATGAGCAAGAAAATGTACGTCAAGTACATAATGTTTAAAATCATTTCCAGAACCAAGGACAAGTGTTATTCATCATGTGAGCCCACATTACTCAAGAGAGCTGAGGACTCTTTTAATTTACTTCACCCAAGTTAAAAAAGACAGAAAGAAAAAGATGTACTCTGTATTTCCTTCCCTAAAACTTATCCTGTGATATAATAAATCAGTTTTAATGGAGCAAAAACGGTTTCATTAGCATGGCATTTCCCAAAGAACTGGTTTCATTGCTTATTTTGCTATTAAAATCATGCTGCTCTTTTGTTTCAAACCCTGGAAATATTAATCTGTATATTAGTCTTCTTTTAATGGAGCAAGGAATCACAAATTACAGTAAGAGCTGAACATGTAATATTTTTTAAAATGGGTGTTTTGCTATAAGACAGAAAAAGATGGTGGCAATATGCTATGTCAGGCAGCTCCTAACATGTCCCAGTGAAACTTAGACTAGTGAATCTAAAACTAATAACCCCCCTAACTTTTCAAACAATAATCCATAGGTTTTTTTTTTCCCTTGACTTTTCCCAGAAGATACTAGCAGGCAACAGGTAATTTCAACTCAGTGGTACATTAGGGCATCAAGAAACTCTGAGGTCTAATATATAAAACAGCATTCAAAACAGCACTGGGCTGCACTATTTCTCATGGGCAAAAGAAGCAACTTAATATTGTCATTTTATAAGGGTGTATTTTATTTATTACCTCAATATCTGCCCATGTTCAAAGACATGTTTCCTTTGTTTACTGAGGAAACTTCCAGATTCTGCAGAACTGAACTCCCTTTTTAACTATCTTCACGGGGTGTGATTCCAAGACAGCACCATCCGACAGGACGTTCGTTCTGTGATGACGGGAATGTTCTAGATCCGCACTGACAAATATGGTAGCCATCAGCTACCTGTGGGACTGAACACTTTAAATGGGACTAGTGTACCTGAGGAACTATTTAATTTTATTTAACTGTCAATAATTTACATAGCCACATGTAGCTCGTGGTTATCATATTAGAAGGCAGAAGAGCAACTCTAACAGAAGGAAGCTAGAAAAGACCTGTGCCTCCAGTTGTCTGTGGTGAGATACCCACTTCACGCTGGTTAATGCAGGGTTTTCTGTTATTCTCATGTTGGGAAGACTACAAAAATGTCCACTGAGCCATGTTTTAGGATGCTATCTGACTAGATCACCTGCCTGCAAAGAAAACCACTCTAATCCCATCCTGAACAAGTGGTTCTCAAGCCTGGGGCTGAGTATGGGGATCCCTCATGCAAGAATGGGTGGTACAAAGGGAAGCCAAGCTCATAGCTCTTGCCCACCTTACCCCCAGAGAGACTCCTTCAGCTACCCGCTGAGTATCACCAGTCTCCAAGCCTCCTCAGCCAACACCTGAACCCAAGGTACAATTTCTAAAATTTGTTTCAAGCCTGGAACCACTTAAGTAAAAACAGAAATGAGAAGAGGCAGAAGGCAGAGCACTCTAACAGGTCATTCTAACATGCCTTATGGTCTCCTCTTCTAAGATTTCACACCCCCAGGAGGAAACTGTCACTTCTGATTAACCTAAACCACTCTAATCCCTCTTTCTTTCTCTCCACGGCTGTCTGAGATGGAGAAGTGCCCGGTGAAGTGGCCACAGACCATCATGTAGGTACTCTCTTGCTTTAATCTCCAAGGAAATAACCGATTCTTTCAACCTTTTCCACGGGATCTACCTTCCAATCAGAGAATCAATTTAACAAATCTCCTCCAAATGTTTTCCAAGCTTCCCACACCTCTCCACACACTTAGCTTCAGAAGCTAGATAAGCCCTAAGAATGGTTAGCACAGACCCAATCCACTCTAGGCAACCAGAGACAGAAAATCAGCAGCATGATTATTTGCTTCAAGCATTATTTCTCGCCTTACAAAAGAATTCATCATTATTTTGTTTGGTTTTCTACTTTAAAAGGAGCAACCTCCTCCCGTGATGAATTTGAAAGCACTGTATTTTGAGTATGTGAATAGCTACTAGAATGCATCAATGATGCAAGGAAACACACATGCTCAAAGTAGAAGGGCATTTCTGCATGTCCTGTGTGATAAGGTGACTCCCCTGAATCACACGGAAAATCTTCTACATGCAAGACCATAAAGCAACTTTAACCCAAGATTCTTGGGGCTACAAAAATGCCATGCACTACGGCAGTGACTACCCAGATTCTTCATTATTATAAAAGAATCAATCTCTACTTGTGCTGAATTTATAAACTTATTTTTGAAGAGAATTATTACAAACACACGTTTTCCATATTCTGTCTGGTTAAGTGCTCTCTCTGATGGCTCCATACTTACGGCTGAAAGGGGATGAAATGCTGCTTGTCTTCATCATCTACTTTCCCATTTATTATATCTGTTACGTCCATCACTGGAGACAAGAAAAGAACATTGTTTTGTTTAAATGCTATAACCAGAGAAAACAAACAAACAGAGGAACATCACATTGTCTTCTGACAAACAATGGCATAAACCACACAGTGGCATTTTTTTTTTAATCTGAGTTTAAAGCATTTCCACGTTCAAAAGAAAAATGGAGTTATCTGAAAACACTGGCCCAAATGGGGGTGGGGTTCAAATGGCAGAGTTCCACTTAGTAAATTCCTTTGCCTCAGGGCGCCTGGGTGGCTCATCCAGTTAAGCATCTGCCTTTGGCTCAGGTCATGATCCCGGGGTCCTGGGATCGAGTCTTACATCAGGCTCCCTCCCCCTCTGCCTCTCCCCCACTTGTACTCTCTCAAATAAATAAAAATTTTTTTTAATTTAAAATAATTTTTAAAATAAATTAAATAAATAAGTAAACAGATAAATTCATTCATTCATTCATTCATTCGCCTAGGAAGCAACATACACTCTGGAGCTGCACTGCCCAACAGCACACCCTGTGATGACGAGATGTTCTAGAACCACAAGCACCAGAAACGTGGTGGTGGAACCGCATTTTTCCTTTGATTTCATTCATTTACATAATAGTCACCTGTGGCCAAGGCCGACCACACTGGTTGGCCCTGCTCTGGAGCATCGGAAAGTTCTCGCATTCCCCCAAGTGACATCACAATGGGAAAGTCGCTGCCAGCGTCTGCGGCTGCTCTTTCAAGGGGCACTGGACAGCGAATCCTCACAATCACCTCCCGCACAACTGAGGAAATTCAGGCTCAAGGACACTATCGAATGACCTTGCCCAAAGTCTGATAGCCAGAAAATCTCCAATGCTCAAGCTCTGACCACACAGCCAGAGACCCCCGAGAAGAACAGCCTTGGACACTCAGCTCTCTCTCTGCTCAATCGACACCCTTGACCGAAGAGAGGTGAGCAACATGCCTGCCTCTCTCTTCATGGTGCCTTCCTTGGTGACCACAGTCATATACTGAAAATGTAGACAATTTCCATTTCTACCACCTGCCCCCCCTCAGAAAGGGGGACGACTTTGTAGGAACAGAAGAGACGCAATGCCACCTCCTGGCTGGTTCGGTGGAGTCCACGGAGCCTCTTGAACCTCCTGTGTCCCGAGGGAGAACATGCTCCCACACACTCTGCTAAACCAGTGCTCCTCACAGAGCAAAGAGCTTTATGAGTATGCTTAGAGACGCAGGTCAAAGAAGCACAAATGAATTGGAACATCAGGTTGTGGGTGTTCTGAAATGTATGGCCTGGGCTGCAGTCTCCACCTCTTGAAGATGCTCCCAGCTTTAAGCCTTCTTAGAGGCCACTGATCGGCACTAGATAAACCTATCATTAAGACGCTCCCATGTCCAAGAACACACTTCTACCACCAGTTTGGAAAGACGTGGCTCTGGGCCATGGCAAGAGGAGGCTGAGCCTCGGCAGCACCTGCTGCCCGCAATCCACAATGGACCGCCTGCCTGTGTGTCTGCACACCTCTCCCCTCGGTCGTGGGGCTGATCCTGCCAGGTCAGGGCGTCTCCCCGGTCGTACAACCCCGGTATCTGGCCTTGGGAACACACCGGGAGCCCAGCCACGTCTCGCAGGAAGGCAGCGAGGGAGCAAGGATTGCAACTCGCATCCAAGCACCAGTCAGGAGAAGGCAGCCTTCGTCCTCTACGTCCTGGAAGTGACAGCCCTCCCAGGGCCCCCTCTCAAGCCTGGGAGGTGAAGGCCGCGACAATGTGACCAGCGTTCACAGAGCGTCTCCCTCATGGCTGCTCGTCAGCACGCTGACCTGTGCCAAGGAAGTTCTTGCTGTGGTTGGGACCCTGGCACAAGCCCGGCTACATGGAATCATGAATGACGTATGTTTTAATCACGCTTTTTGTTTTTTTCATAATTTTTATATCCCCGTTGTTACACTATATTAGAAGAGAAATGTGACATAATATTTTCCACAGAAGGCTGAGAACCGTAGGCTTAAAGGTCCACGAACACACTGTTCATCTGCGCTCTGTCGACACAAACAGGTAGAAGTTATTCTGGATAAAACCTCCAAATTAAGTTCCTATTCCACAATGGGCAGAAGCTGATTACCAAAAAGGTGATCAACCTTCTGAGGCCGAGAAGTGTCCTTTCCGAACCAGAAAGAGAACAGCAGATGGGAGGCCGTCCTGAGTAGAGTAGAGGCTCGCACTACTTCAGGATGGCCCCACTGGGCACGCCCAACGCCACGTGAAACACAAGGAGGAAAGGCAGTCTGACGGCAGCGTCCCGCCAGGTGCCGCATGGCCCACAGTGGCTCACAGGTGATGTTGGTGAAAGCAGCAATTCTAATTTAATTGGTAGGCTGTGGGATCTGGGCAAGAATGTATTTTTTAATAGTTCCCTAAACCCTTCTCGTGTACAGTTAGGGTCAGAAATCACTGTATTAAAATATTTACCTTCTGCACCAAAAACATATAGCTTCCTTCTCCTTCCCCCA